TCGTATGCAGTTATATTTAGGCCACCCTCTAGTCCCTCTAGATCCACCATATTAAACATTCTTTTAGAATATTCTTGCCCCACTTGTTAGTCATAAGGATTAAACTAGGCTCCAATACCAATATTAGGATCCTATCATTTACACCCTAAGCTAAAGGGATGATCACTTGATTGTAAGGCCTTTTCTTTATCCTATAATCTTGATCTAATGCCTAACAATAGTTAAGGACTTTTAAATAACATTTCAAAACACCACCAATCTAACACAAACCTTATGGGTACTTCCCCCACCTTCCACCACTAAAGTGCCTTAACTATGTAGCTAGAGCAAGGTTCCAATGAGCCACCTAAGGTATTCAAGTAAGTAATGCCACCCACATTTAAATTGGGAATATCTACCATTCAATCTCTTATAGGAGATAGAGTTAGATTTTGAACACTTTATTAAATCACCTCATTTTTCCATCTATATTCATTTTAACTTTATCATCACCAACCATATGGGCATAGCCTGAATTCACATTAGCTTTCTCTGGCCATACTAGTTCCCCTAGAGTCCTCCCTCTACTATTCTACTGTTGTGAATATGACTTTGGGTATCGAAAGTTATCTGTCGGCTAATCCTTTTGGATATTCTTTCTTTACTGCCACGACGATAGGAGGTTGGTATTGCTAGTTTCCTTTATCAACCCCTCTTGTTCAAGTGTTAGTTTACTGGGTTTAGCACATGTACTTAGCCAGATGGACATAAGGTAGAAATTCTTATGTGTTTCTAGCTGAGTATACTCGGCTTGGCTCTTAGTTCTTTTTTGCTTTGTCTTGCACTGACTTGGCAAGAACCCTCGCGTATTGATATTAATCCCTCAATATCGCTGGATGATAGTTTACCGTGTCTACTAAATACCCTCGCTATTATGCCCTTTGTGTTAGTCTTATTTCGGTCCTAAATGCTATTTATGGAAGTGTCTAGATTCGTTTGGCATATCTATGCGGGGGGGGGGGGGTATAGGGGGTTCTAAATGTATAATAGGGATAGTGGGTAGGTCAGGCATGGCCGACCAACCTGAGGTATAGTTTAGTTCCCACTTGTGTGCATGTCCTTGTGTATGTCCGGCTTAGGTCTAAGCCCAAGTTCCATACCATGCTAGTTGGTGGAGTACCCGTATCCTTGCGTTAGACCACCAGTATACTAAAATAGTGCTAAACTCCGTTTGGCTCTATTTTGCATGCTGGTCCTAGCATTGGGATGTTAGATGCTCTAGGATTGTTCCAAGTCGCTCCGTGCTCCTGTCCCTTCATTCCTTGGGCTATATGCTCGGGAGTTGCTTTATGGTCCGGTTTGATCACTCTTTGGCTCCTTGCTTGGGAGTTTGGCACCATTCCTTCGTTTAGTGGCCCAAGGCCTTGAAACTCGGGTTCCATTCCACTGTCCTCTAGACACGTGGCATGTGGCACGTGGCATATAACACATGGCACATTGAGGGTTTAGGTTCCACTTCATGGTTATCCTATGGTAAATCACTATAGGATAAAAGGGTAAAAACCACATACGCTACACCTACAAGGACTTATCAAAACCCTCAAGGTCTAAGAGATGATCGCTTTGAGCTTTCACCCTTAGATTTGAACTCAATCTTGGACTTGGTCTTAGACTTTAGTTTTGGTCTCAATCTTGGTTTCAATATCAGTCTCCATCTTGGACTTAGTCTTAGATTCCATCTCAAATTTGATCTTAGAATTGGTCTTAAACTCAATCTTGGACTCGGTCTCAAACTTGATCTTGGACTTGAATTTAGACTCAATCTTAAACACAATTTCGGACTCGGTCTCAGATTTAGTTTTGGACTCGATATTGGACTCAGTCTTAGACTCAATCTAGGACTTAATCTTGGATTTGAACTCAGGCTTAAACTCGATCCCGAATTTAGTGTCAACACTTCCACATATCATAACACTGGCCATGTGTTAGTTTTTCTTTTGTCCCTTTCTAAAGACTCATTTATTAATCGTTTCGTGCTTGTTTCTCAAATACTTCTTTGGGAGTTCAACTCCCACTCTTGATTACTCTAGTTGGAGCTTTTGGTCCAAATATGTTATATTTGTTAGATTTTTATTTTGGCCACTAATACCTTTGACTCCATTTTAGGATTTAGGCATTTCAGTTTTACAAGGATTTAGGATACTATTATCTTTTCTTTTATCCTATAACAATTTAGGCATAAAGTTCCACTTATTATATGGAGAACTTTTTGAAAGGTTTCTTCCTTTGGACTTATCCACTTTGTTTAATGGCCTAAGGTCTTGAACTTTGAGTTATGTTTTATTGCTCTTAGCACACATATCAATTCTTTTATATGGTTATCCTATGGTAAAGTATAGGGTCAAAATCACCTATGCTATGAATATTGAGAATATAAATGTTGAAATAGCAAGTCATCAACAAGTGATACATGATTCTCAAACTTATTATGAACCCTTCAAATCTATAGCTTAACCTTTTAAGCCTCATAAACCTTGTTTAAAGAAGGTAAATTTAGCTCTATATATTACAGATATTAAACATCAAGCACAATAACCATTAACGATATATAATCCTCATATAAAAACTCCATTATTGCAAAAAATAAAAAACTCCTCCAAAACAAAATAAAAAGGTCAAAAAAGGGAGAGGAGTTCGAGAAAGGGTGTTAGCATTAACCACAAAATTCCTTGAGCAATGAAGAACCTTGAAATTATATATATGAAGTTTTAAAGCACACTGAACAATATGATCAATTAATTTTTTTTCTTCAATAAGGAAATAATTGCAATATAATCACCTTATAACAATATATAAGAACCATGCAAGCACACATGAAGCTTCTTGAAACCCAAACTAAGGCTAAAGATTCATTTTATATTATAGAGTGTAACACATTGTATTTCTCTCCTCTTAAGCCAACTGAAAAAGGGGTAATTGCTTGATGAGAGAGCCTTTAGTAGTAATTTTATCCCCATTTATCTCCCAAATTTCCAAGGATCCACAGTGACAGTATATCCAAATCTCATCCCATGATCATATGTGCTACATAGATTAATTCACTTTTGTTAATTGTAATATATGATTAATGTACATAATAAAATGATGCTGACCAAGTGTTCTTTTACATCAACACATCTTTAAGACTAATATTAAAAGTATCTACATGCCAAAATTGAAGAAGTTGTTAACACTTCTTTAAGATTTATAAATCACTATTTATTGTCCTCATACCCAATGAAAGATGTTGTTGATGATTTTAACAACTTAGATGATCAATAAAATAATTAAAATATTACATTTATTAAGGAAACACTACATATTGTTTATACATTTTTGAGTGGAGAACTTCAGAATAACATCTTGTTTGTCAAGATCAACTTGTAAAACCTTATGAAAATATAATACCTAAGATGAAATATGTTTTTAGACCAAAACACACATTTCAACTATTTCAACTTTAAATCAATTGCAAACATCATGAATGTGCTTCTCTTATATCTTCTTCAAGTGGATTAAGACATCATTAATGAAATTGATAGCCATTTTGGCATAAAAAGAACCTTATCCATCTTTCATTGAAAAGCAATTATAGTACTGTTCAAATTGAATGGCATCATCACAAATTATATAGTGCATGATTTATCAATACTCAAAAGAAAAATTTCATTTGATGAACCAACAACTTTTACCCAAACAATCCAAAAGATATGTAAGGAAAAGGGTATATTCACATTGTTTAATAAATGATAGAATCAAATACTACTTTGTCATAAGATAAAAACTTTAGATAATACCCTTTTCTAACATTTTTTAACATTTGCTTATAAGATTTTGAAATCCTTTGATGACCAATGCATCATATCTCATGACATTATACTAGTCGAAGAGCATTGTCAAGGGTGGTTGGCATATATATGTCCCATATAATTTGATGAAGTGCTCACTATAACATATTTAATTTAATCCACTTTAACATATTCAACTCTCATGAAGCAAAAGGTTCCACTAAATTGCATAAATAACTCAAATAGCTCCTAATAGAGATCATAATAATATGTCCAAATGCACGCTTGAAGATATCTAAAAGAAAGCTTCAATCTTTACAAGTGGTTGCACTCAAACCATTACACCCAATGTTATCTTTTGGAAACGTGTGGGAAAATGAACAATAGCAATTATCATAAAGTGATATGTAATAAGAGCAATTTTATATTTATAAATTATACTAAAAAAAATAGTTGCTTGATGTTCACAACAAGTTGATTGAAGCACTAAGCAAGCCAAGAATTCTCTTTCTCTTTCTATTGGCATGCTTACTTTTGCTATGTCCTTGTGCTCCCAGAATTGAACCAAATGAATCATTGCCATGCCTTGTCACAATGCAAAAACTGTGTTCTCTTGAGGCTGTGTTATGTACCTGTGAAACCATTTGGAGAACTCTTTTAAGGCAAACCATGAAGCGAACCTCATGAATGGAATCTGGAAAACCATGGCTAAATACCTGTAAGTGAGGCGTATCCAGGAGTTTCTCTTGCGTATTGACATCTTCACTCTTCTCATCCACTACATCCAACTTTGGATCATGCTGCTCATATGCTTCCAAGATGTCCAATGTGGTAGTTAACCAATAGCAACTGTGTACAATCCATGGAGCTTTTCTTGCTTTTTTTGCTAAAGCAATTAGAATCACAGTTCATGCTCCTCCAATGCCAGTGGTTTCTTGATGGTGTCGCAAGCCAGAAACTCTGCTTTAGTAGCAGGGAGGAGAGCGGCAGCCATCGTGTTTTTTAATCTCCCACTCTCTCATTTCTTAGACTTACAAGTTGGAAAATCTGAGTCGTCCAATTTATTATCGATTAACCTAGTCTGCGCTGACGGGATTGGATTTCCAATCCCATTCAAAATATCATACCTGGACAATGTGCATTGGAAGACGTGTGATAAAAAACTTGCATGTTGACCGATCAAATGTAATGTGCTAACAGTGTCAATACTCCATGGTAATATATAGAAGAATAATTAGCACAATCTTGCACTCATTAACTATTCTTGATATCCTCTGGTACAGTATTTCATTAAATTATTTCATGAAGAAGGTACTACAAAAGAAAGCCAAAGTCCTGCCAGAAGCAAACAAAAGAGTTATCACGAAGAAAAAAAGAGAATGGTTTTTCTTACCTCATGATGTTCTTCCACCTCATCGCGATTGAGTCGCGGAGCACACAAGCCCGGAAGCATCAGCGTCCACCACCGCCAAGTCACAGACGCTGCAAATCTGCCCTGCCACCTCGGGGACGAACCGAGCAGCGCAGTAGGGGCACGACACCGATCTGCTTCCCGCGTAGATGGGCGTAAACGTCGCTCCACACACCACAAACGGGTTCCTGCCATCGTAGTTCATCCTGTTCTCGTCGCGGGGGTTCCTCTCGCACGCCTGGAGGACCTGCTTCGCCTTGGCGATGCCGGCCTGGCTTGGATTCATGTCCAGCAATCGCCTCGCCAGCTGCGCCGCCGTGTTGAAATTGTTGCAGCGATACGCGACCCCCATGGCCGACTGGAGTCCCAGCCGAATGTGAGAAGGCTGAATGTCGCAGTGAGTGAAGTAGGCCGCGAGCTCGGCCTGCCGGACCGGCTCGTCTTTGAGATCCTTGCGCTTGAGCTCCATCTTGAGCGCAAGGACGTACTCCTTGCTCTTGCCGATGAGGTCCTTGACGTCGTCAACTTCCTTGCGGCTGTCCACCACGATCACTGGAACGGTGTGGAGGATGCTCAGGAAGAGGCGGAGAGCTTCGCTAAACTTCCCCTCGGTCGTCGCCTTGTACGCCTGCTTTGCTCGATCTTCCAGCGCCGGGAGCTTGTAGATCAGTGCCGGGCCGTTTCGGACGTTGGGAGGTGACGAGTCCGACCAGTTCCTCTCGAGCCCATACGTGAGGGACTCGACTGGCCTGAAGCCGCCCAGTGAGCTCTGGCTCGCGAGGTGGAGGTCGCAAAACACCGCCTGGAGTGGAGCGAAGTTCTTGATCCCAAGTTGGCGATTCAGGAGGCGCATTGCGCTGTCGAAGGCACCCGCAGCAACGTGGTCGCCAGCCAACGAGGATCTCTGCGTCCAGACTTGAGTGACTGGAGCTCCCGGAGTTATTCCGGCGAAGAAGCTAGACTGCGCCGAGGCTTGCGACTGCACCACTTCCGGAGGAAGTTCCAAGTCTTCCAGTTCCCATCCTCCTTCCTCCTCGCCCTCGGGTCCAGGACCAGCTCTTCCGGCCTCCTCCAGGTCTTCGGCCTCGCCAGCTCCAGCTTGAGCATCTCCGCTGGGTATGACGAGCTCGTCGCCCCAAGCATCCGGGGCGTTTTCTTCTTCTTGGTCTACCACCCCTGGCTCAGCAAAGGCGCCTTCGAAGAAGCCTTTGCTGATCAGGAGCAAAGGCCAGTTGTTGTCACGGAGGATTGGGCTCGGCGGCAGGAGCAGCTTCGACGTCTCGAGTTTCGGAATCTGTGGAAGCTTATCACCCAGCTCAGTGGCCAAACGCTCCGCCACCTCGTCGAGACCATGAACTTTAGCCGCTGCATAGGCAAGAGGAAGGTGTCCCGATTTCTCAAGTAGCTTCACTCGCTCTTCGACGTCACCCAGGTACAAGGCGTTGTGGAAGCATCCCATCACGTCGTTCCTCATCTCTGCGATCTTGAGCATCTTGGACAGCTTCTCCAAGTTACCAGTTATCAAGTAGAGGAACGACAGCCTCTCAAAGTTCTTCGTCCGCTGGTAAGCGTACTCCACAATCTCATGGTTTCCCTGTCGCAAAGCCTCCACTCCGAGCCTGTACCAGTAATCCTTCTCGTCGATTTCCTTTGCTGACACGACTGCCACTTCGATGTTGCCGCACTCGATAGCCAGATTGAACCTCGTCCTCTCATCCTTGACAAAGTGCAAGGCCACCTCTGGAAATCCTTTCTGCTGGAGGTACGAGATGATCGCCTGTCCACAAAGTTGGGAGCTTCTGATCATCTCCAAAACTCGGTCATAACGCTTCTGAATCAATGCAAGCTTGAACGTGAACTCTGTAGTGTCTATGGTGATCGTCCTCACTTTTCCATCCCTGTCGAGACAGTAAACCTTGTCGCCGGAAACTCGAGTGATGTAAATGGGAACGTCCAGAGTCATGATGGTGCCGCTGTCTCCATTTGGAAGGCAGTACTTGATATGATTCAACGTCGTATAGATGAACACTCCTGTTTCGTCCCATGCAGCACTCTTGATACGAATTGTCTCGTGAACACTGCACTTAAGAGCCAGCTTCTTCGTTGCCATGACGATACTATGCTTGCTCACTAAAGCAACAGCCTCCATATCCTGTGACCACACCACGTACTTCACCTGCGGGCTGTTGATCTCTCCCAAAATCGACTTTTGCTGGATGTCAAACAAGATCACCTTGTCATCTGAGCGACAGAGAAGAGTTCCTGTTCCCGCATAGAAGATTGCATCTACTGTTGGTGCCGGAGCGTCGACTTTCTTCGAGAGCTCGTTCCGGAGATTCCTGACTACAATCAAGTTGTGAGCCTTATCTAGAACTGCAAACCGGTTCCTGGCCACGAAAACAGCCGATGATCCACTGCCTTTCTTTGCTTCTTGAGTATCGTTCTTGCCAATGCTGTCCTTCGATATGACGTACAACTCGTAAGAACCGTTGTCAACGTCGGAGCACAAGAGCACGGCATTCTCCGCTGGATTGTAAGACATAGTTCTCGGTGCTTGGTTCATCCCAGTAGATCCAGGCCTCCGGATGGCGATCAGGGGGTTGTCCTTCCCGGTGGCAAAATCGTAAGTCCTCAAATGTCTTTCTTTGACGTAGTACAGCACCCCTCCACTGACTGTATACGCCGGCCTCTCCCTTTCCAGCTTAAACACGATCATGCCGCTGTCATGTCCCGCTGCGAGTAGATTCATCTCAGGGTGGCCCGAAAGAATCCAGAAACGGTCGTGCTCTCTCCTGAAAGTATGCACGCCAGATCGCTTCGACATGTCCCAGATCCGAATGGTCTTGTCCTCCGAGTTCGAGACGATAATGTCCTGGCGAGCGTGGAACATGACGCAGGAGACGTTGTTTACGTGACCTCGTAAGGTGTCCACCTCCCAAGCCTTCGTATCTAGAAAATGGAAAAAACAAAGAAATTTTAGAAAGCAAGAGAGATAAAAAGGAGAACAATGGGCTTACCATTCATCCTCCACAACTTGACTTGTCGATCATCAGCTCCAGAGACAATGAGAGGCAAGCTCGGATGGAAGGAAGCCCAGTTGACACCCCTGTCATGGCCTTCAAGCACATACTTGACAACCGCATCACCGCCACCAAACAGATCGCTGTTCATCTGAGTGAGCCTCAGAAGATCCTCGGCCGGAGAAACAGTCTTCTTGCGTAGAGCACTGATATCCCACACACGAACAGTCTGATCCAGCGACGCCGAAACCACGAGATCCTCCTTGACGTGGAACGAGGCACACATCACGTAGTGATTGTGGCCTGTGAGCACGGAGATACACGTCCGGGACTGCCAGTTCCAGATCCTGATAGTCTGATCGTCGCTGGCGCTCACGATCCAAGGATATTCTTGATGGAACTGGACTGTCCGGATGTAATCCAAATGGCCCAGCAGCGTGAACAGGCATCTCCTCGTCTTGTAGTTCCACACCTTGATCTTGTAGTCATCACCTTAAAAAGAAGGGATCCTTTCAGCAGCGACTCAGGAAAGCAAAGAAATCGGTCGATCGAACAAAATGTCGATCGATCGGTGAGGAAAGCAAGGAAATCTTACCTCCCGAGACGAAAAGAGGCTGAGATCTGTGGAAGTGGACGCCGCGAACCGGCCCATCGTGCTCGTCGAAGCGATCTATCAGCGATCCCATCCGGTAATCCCATAGCTGGATGACGCCGCTGTGGAGACTAGCCAAGATCCATGGCCGCCGGGGATGGAAGCTCAACCCCTTGACGCGATTGCTCTTGGTCTCGAATTTCGTCAGCATCTTCGATCTAGCGCGGCTTCGATCTGCGCACTCCCGCAGCTAGAGAACTGACCTAGGGCGCCCGAATCTCAGCTCGAGCGCGCTCCACCTAGATCCAGCGCTTCCAGGGCGCAAACCCTTGCCTCGAACTTTAGACGGCCAGAGATGGGGACAATCCAACGGCAAACAAAACTTTTACATTTGATTTCAACTATTTTACTTTTACCAAAGGATAGTGTCATACGCGGAGCTTAAGAGGAACTCCATGCTTAATCTCGACTTGCAAGCGCGGAGCTTGGCCATGGCATCGTTCTCCAATTGTCTTACTCGTTCTCTCGAGATTCCACAGCTAATAGATCGCAAATCGTGAAGAAAAAACTCCAAACTTTAGACGAAGAGAGCTTACCTTCTACCAATTTCGTGCCTTGAGAGTGGCGATGTCTGGTTGGGATGGAGGCCAAAGCGTTTTCTGATAACTTCGCGTTCTCGAGCATCTAGCTTTGATTCCAGAAGTCGATCCAATTCTTCCTGAGAATCATACAAAATGAGAACTATTGCTTGAAAGTAAGCGTTTTTACCTTCACAGCATCTCTTTCCGCCATCAGCCATGGCTGATTCTCCACGTTTTGATCAACGATAAACTGTGCATTGAATGTGAAGTGACCATATGATCTAAGGGAAAAAAGTTCAATTGCTACTTACGTCCTCGAGAGGATCCCCTTCTTCAAAGCAGCGTTTGTTGGCTACATGTCGATCTAAGGATGTTAGCCTGTAGTTGCTTGCCTGAAATACTATTGGTAAACACAGAAAAGACGAGACATGTCTAAACCTGAAGGGCGATTTCGATCCTGGCCCTCGGCAGCTTAAGCACTTGCATCATAGTCTAGAACAAAATATAAAGGAACTGGAAAATTGCTTGACCGTAAAAGAGTAAACTTTACCTCGACTGACACTGGCCCGTCGTCAACTTGTCTGTTCCTCAGCTGATTGATCTTTCGGATGGCTTCACAGAGATGGAATGGATATCTCACGCATTTCCCTCGCTTGTCCAAAGATCGGATCATTGCCTGCGTGAAAAAAACCAAACCATAGTCCTCTAAGTTCTCCGAGGTATCTAAGCACCAGAAAAAGATCTACTTACTTGAAAGATCCACCAGTACGCATATGTAGAGAATTTGAAGCCTCGGCTCACGTCGAACTTCTCAAGCCCGTGGATGAGTCCAAGAGTACCTTCCTGCTTCAGCGTAGAGCTGTTCTTACGTTTGAAATGGCAAAACTTGGACGAGGAAACGGAATCACCACCTGAATCAGATCGCCAATCTCAACTCCCATGTTCTCGTAGCGCCTTGCAATTGCGACGACGAGCCTGAGATTGGAGAGGATCATCCGCTTCCTCGCGGCACCGCCTTGGCTCAAAATCAGTGTAACTTGCTTCACAGGCAACCCCGACGCTGTCGCCAATTGGTGCATGGAAGGCTCGTAACCAAGTTTCGAGATCAGCCTGGAAGAAAGTAAAAGTATGCTAGTGAGTGATAGAAAAAATGAAAAACAGCCAAGTCCAACCTCTCTTGTTCCTTCACCAATTCACCAGCCATACGTATTTTCTCCCACAAATCAAGCTGCTCCTCGTTCGTCATGTCATGCGGCTCAGCATTTTTAAGAAACGAATCCACGAAGCCTTTCATGGATCTCTCCGTTTTCACGCCTTTAGTCCTTCTTCGTGGAGTTGGAACACTAGCATTTTTGCTTGAGTTGTTCCCCAAGCCTTCCTCCCTGGAAGAAGTACTCGTCGTGGTCTCGCCCCTTTGCTCCTTGGCAGCAAGCCTTCGTTGCCTTGCTCCAGGCCGTCCCGATCTCACAACCTTGGGATTGCTAGATTCCTCCATCTCGCTATCACCCTCTCTCGAAGAAGACCACTCTACCTCTTGCCTGAAAGACCACCGCGCTTCTAGCAAAATCCTCTCGAGAGAAGGAAGCCTGCCCCCGGATTCTATCCACCATTGCTGTGCATTCTCATCCAAGCAAGGCTTCTCTTCCAGCACGCCCTCTGCCAGTCTCGTCGCTACCGAAATATTTCGATGCTGCTGCTCTACTCCGGCCGGCCCAATCGCGGCCTCCATTGTGCTCTTAGTCATCTTGTGGATGAGCTCGCCATCGCTGCGCTGCATTGCGCATCGGCAAGATCTCATCTCCAAGATCCCTGTCCCTGTTCCTGACGAGGAAGCGTGAGCGTCCGCCCGGCGCGTCGACCTGTGGCATCTCGATTCGCTGATCTTCGAGGGAGACGCGAGCATACCTAATTTCACGGCGGTGCTCGCCGCTGACATCGCTGTTCTTCGTCTTCCTCCCCCTAGGGGTTTTGGGGTTTGGACAAAGAATTCAAAACACCATATCTTAAAGCCAACGGTCCAGATGCTCTGTGCCAACGGCCCAGATCAAGCACATCTGAACCGTCGGACTGGAAGTTTAAGCTGCTTGTAGAGATTTAGGGTTCTTGAGGCTATACATGTTAGCGAGGAGGATGAATGCCGCAGAATCTCTCGGCCCCAGGCTTAGATCTAGCACGGATTTCGTGGCGCCACTGCCACGCACCAGATCCCTGTGGTTTCTCGAGGCTCCGATCAAGCATACGTACTCCAGGACGTGTGGAACAAAGGGCATGCTCGTCACAAGCTCCTCCGCTTCCTCCAAGAATCCCGCCCGCGCTAGAAGATCGACAATGCAGCAGTAGTGCTGCCTCTGGGGCGCGATCTGGAAATCCGTGACCATGGAAGCGAAGCAGCGGCGGCCGATCGTCCTCCCGGCATAGCTGCAGCACGCCAGGATCGACACGAAGCTCCCGGCGTCCGGAGCTTCGCTGCTCTTCATCGAATCGAAGGCTTTGATCGCGCAGGAGTGCTCGCCCATGGAAGAATACGCCGATAGCAGCGTCGACCACGAGATTGTGTCGCGCTCTGGCATCCGGAAGAAGAATCCAGTGACGCGATCGCGATGTTTCCCCTGTGCGATCGCCCCCAGCATTGCGTTCCAGGAGACAATGTTCCTCTGCGGCATTTGATAGAACAAGGGCTCCACTCTCTCCAACTGCCCGGATTGGGCATATACGCCCAGCATCGTGTTCCACGCCACCACGTCAGGTTCCCACGTCATCATGTCCTGGAAAAGCCGCTCCGCCAGCTCAGCATAGCCGTGGAGCGAGTAAGCCGCCAGCAGGGCGTTCCACGACACGCTGTCACGCTCCGGCATCGCGTCAAACGCTGACTTGGCCTCTTCCAGATGCCCGTTCTGGGCGTATGCTACGAGCATGGCATTCCACGTCACCATGCTCTTCTCGGGCATTTTGTTAAACATGCTCCTGGCATCTGCAAGATTCCCTTTCTGGGAGCTTCCCGACAGGAGAATATTACACGTGACCAGATTGAGAAGAGGAGACGTCCTAATAATATGCTTGGCATCTTCCAGATTCCCTTTCTGGGCATATGCCGAGGACATGGTGTTACACGACATTAGATTCCGCATTGGCATGTCTTCAAACAAGCGCCGTGCCACCTCAGTCTTGCCAGCTTGGACATATCCCGTCAGCAGCGAGTTCCACGTCACGACGTCGCGCTCCGCCATGTCATCAAACATCTTCTTCGCTTCTTGCAAGTACCCGTTGTGGGCATATGTCGTCAGCATTGCGTTTTGCGTCACAACGTTGTGCTCTGGAACTCTATCAAACATAAACTTTGCCTCTTCTAGATTAGATTCTTGGGCATATGCCGACAGCATGGCAGTCCACGCAAACAAATTCCTCTGCGGCATATCCTCAAACAAGCCTCTTGCGAGCAGCAAATCCCCTCTTTGAGCATATGCCGTAAGAAGCACAGTCCATGATATGACATTGCGCTCGGGCAAATAATCAAACAAGCAACGTGCCACGTGGATGTGGCCCTCTTGCGTGTACGCCGCCAGCATGGAATTCCACGTCACGATATTCCAGAGTGGCATTCGCGCGAACAGAATCTCGGCCTGCTGCAATTGCCCATTCTGGGCATATGCTGCCAGCATGGCAGTCCACGCAAACAAGTTCTTCCCGGGCATCGCGATGAATATCCCCTCCGCATCGTCAATGTAGCCATTGTGCGCATAGGCTGATAGCATAAACACCCACGAGAAGCTGTCCTTGCTTGGCCCAATCCTGTCAAAAATCTCTCGAGCCCTGTCAATCCTTCCAAAGTTTCCAAACAGTTCTATGAGCTTGTTGAGAACCAACACGTCGTTGTCTCGGTAGTCGATGCGCGCTTCGATCCGAACAGCTGTGGAGAAATCTCTACACAACTCAATCAGAGAAACAAGCTTGCGGTGATCACACATTTATAAGTCACAAATGATACACTTATTAATTAGATCTATTTTCAATTTTTGTAACTTTACAAAAGAACCAAAACTGTCGGCAGAACATATAGAAAATGGAAAACAAAAGAATCAAAACCGTATAGAAATCATCTCTGAAAAAAGAAAAACACCAAACAAAAGCCATATGAGTGAAAGATCTATGAAAAAAATAAATAAAAGCTTACGTACCCGAACAAAGAACGCGAACTATGAGCTAGAGCTCATAGTCTCTCACACCTGGAAACTGTGGAGTATAGACTCGAAAGTGATCTTGGAGAGCTTCTTCACTGCTAGGCCAAGGAGATTTGACGCGGCATGTACCTCTGCTCGCCCGGTTTGTCTTTCGAATTCCGCTGCCAGCGTCCCACGGCCTTGCCACAAGAGTTCCCTACGAAGTTCCTGGGCCTGTTGTCCAAAACTTCATTTGCCTTTGCAGCTTCGTCCAAAACCCCGCTCGGAGAGCCTTTCGGTGACAGCTTTGGAGCTTCGGTGTCCAAGTTCTGGTCGTTGTTGATAGGCCACACCTTCGTGTTTTTACTTCGCTTGCCGGTTCTGTCGTGCTTAAAGTTTGCGTCGGTGTTTCTCCGCTCCACAGCCGTGGCCCATCCTAGATCGCAATCACACAAGTTAGCAACATCTAAGAAGGAAACAACGTAACTTACTTTCAGAGAGAAAGCTTGCCAGCAGCTTGGAAGAGAAGGATGGCGACGTCGCATGCAGATCCACAAGGCACGGCTTTGTGTCCATTGCAGCACCGTCTTCCGCATTGTCACTGTCCACCGCTGGTCTTAGAGCCACCGCACTAAGCTTGGGCGGAAAAGTTCCATCGTCCTCGACCATGCTCCGAGTGTTTTCCGCACCACTTTGATCTCCAACTTTGCCGACGGGCTTCCAAACCTTTAGAGGTGGCGTTGGCTTGGCCCAGCTTGCCTGTCTGCCTTCCAAGCTTTCGGGAGTCGAAGACTTGTTCATCAGATTGCTCTCCTCCGATAAAGAGCACGGACGTCGTACGTGCCCCTCCAGCGGCACACTTAATGATCCAACCAGCAAAGTATGGCCACTCTCAGCTTCCGCCGAACCCACGGGAACACTTATTTCCTGGTCATCATCTTTTGTTCTGCTTGGTTGGCTGGCTTTCCTCGTCCAGACGACACGACCATTGGATCCCTTCACAATACCTCTGTACACCCCAGCAAGTTTCTTGCGATAGTGCTGCTGGTATGGATCAATTCTTGTCGAGTGCTGCGTTCTTCTCGGCCGGAAATAAGCTTGATATGAGCTATCACCCGTCCGATAAGTTGCAGAAGAGGAAAAGTTTGTGCGTCTTCGATCCTTGATGACTCTCCCGATATTTTGATCCACAAAGTTGTGGTCTTTCAATGCCGTTTCGACCTGACCTTGATCCTCCTCATGTACCATTTCTATACTGTTCTCCATCACCGTCTTCTCTTCAGAAGAAGTTTCCCAAGTAGCCGCTTGGTTGTCCCTCAGCAGAACAAGAAAGCCATTCTCATCTGTGACTTCGGTGACAGGCCCCTCCCCATTATCCACCGCAAACGGATAATCCTCGTCGTCACCCGTTCTTGGAGTATTCACCTCTTCATCGCCCAGATCAATGTCAGCATTTGGAGGCTGATCCACTCCCTTGCGCCCCTTCTGCTTGTTTCTCTTCTGACGTTTTCTTTCCAGATCTTTAGCTCGCCTGTAAAAGAAAATTACGTTATGAAAATTTCAAGCGCAATCCACGAAGATGCTTACTTGCGCTGGGCGGCTTCCTCCTCTTCAACAAGAGCTTTCTCGCAGCGCAACGCTTCGACGTTCTTTTCCGCCATCCACGCTTTCAGCTGAGAGAAAGAGAAGCTTAGATTCTATCATATGAATCTTGCAAAAAAATTTACCAGTTTCTGTTCGACGAGAAAACTCATAGAAGCCACCACATTTTTATCTTCGAGTCCAATTTTTTCCGCATCGCCGTGATATACAAAACGCTGAACAGCTATTGACGTCCCTCCGCACAAGAACGTCCCTTCGCTTGCATCATCGAGTGTTTTAAGAAGCTTTTCCGACGGTATTGGAAATAAAGAAGTTTTGTTCTGTACAAGTTCCTGCAACAGAAAAGAAATGAATATAAAACCAGGTGATAAGCATAGAATCACTTACGAGAAGGACTGTCCCTGCCTTCATGTAGGCAGGAGGATAAGGCTGCAGGCCAGGGTGTTGAACAAACGATGCTAAGGCTTGAAAGGCTGACGTTCCAGACAGATTCTGCAAAAACAAAGTATAAGGCGGTTTCGCAATAAAGAGATCTATAATCACCTCAATTCCCATATTTTTGAATGAAATGACTTCACTGGATTCTTCAGCTGTAAGCTGGAAGTTACGCACGGGTTAGTTCAACACTTTCATACAATTGTGCATACATACCTTATCCCAATACGCAGCTAACTGTGACCTTTCATGCCGCAAATCCTGTTACACCAAACCAGATTTCAGTAAATACCACAGCTAAAAACCAAACAGCTCTTACCTTATCATCAATCAGCGAACGACGATGTGATCGTATGTGCCTGCGATAATTCAGCGTGGAACAGAACTCGCGGGAGCACTTCTCACACTTCTTCATCTGCGGCTTCGGCAACAATGGCCACCCAGGAATCTCTGTGACAGATCAAACCGATGTTGGAACCAGGAAACTAAAAGAAAAGGTGAAAAGCAATACAGACCATTAACTTTTGCGGCAGCCTGAGCAAAAGCCACAACAGCCTGAGGAACTTTGAGTGAATGCAACCGGTCGCTGGCCTGGAAACCTTTCGCCAAATTCTCGCTTCCCTTGAAAACATCGCTAAGATGAAATCCTCGCTCCTTGTTCCCAGCGTCATCCGACTTGAAGCTCTTCGCCGACTTATCACCGCGATGCCCAGTTACCTCGGACTCTTTCCTCTTGGCCTCCGCAGAGTCGGACCTCTTCCTATATGCTTTTCCCACACCCTTGGACGCATTGGAGCCTCCGCCCTCCTCGACCGAGGGAACAATGTTGCACTGTGTCGTGGAATTCGAAGTTTTCACCTTCTTCTCGTCGTCAAAACCCTTCACCGAACTCGCAGCCTTCTCGCTATCTACAGCACCAGCGCCTGGTGATTCCAAAACCTCCGCGAGACCTATGTCCTGCTCTACATCTACCTCCTGTTCATCGTAACTACCATCGCCCTCCGGGATTGTAATCACGAAATCGTCGCTCTTCTCCATCGCCTCCACCTCCACATCGTGCTCGAAATCCATCGCCGCTCCTCCGGCCGAGAGGGAATTGCTAGCAGCAGCAGCTGCCGCCTCGCAGATTTCCGGGAGAAATGCCTACCGAGAAGGAGATTGCGATGCGTCTTTCCTAGATCTCTGTTCCCCGGGCGATAGATCCGGCGTCTGGATCCCTGCGCGCGTCGCCTGTTCGTGGAAGTCTTCTAGGTCACACTGACCTAAGCTCTCAAACCTAATCTCAAGAACAAAATAGCAAAATACAGCCGATTTTCCCTCCAATTTTGCCGAGCGCGATTCTTGGCCTCTCTGGATCTCGGAAGAACAGCGCAGCGATGGATCTACCACAAGTCACAAGAAAGAAAAATCTCTCATATCGGACAAGACTGGCCGCTTGTCCTGTTTCACCGTAACCGACATAGGCAAAGATCGATCAATCGCCTCGAAATCTCGCTCGCCGGGCAATATTTCGCGGAGATCGATCGAGAATGGGAGCGAATCGAGACGCAAGAGCTCGGGACCTCTAGATCGCGGCAGAGCTTCCGCCCCAAAGAGCCCTAGATTCGGGAGCAACCGTTGGATCTAGACGGATTCAAACAACACGCGCTCCGAGCCGTTGATCTCAAGCAGTAAAGAGAGGAAAAAGAGAAAGAAATTTTCAAACACTTTCCCACGTAGAGCTGTGTGTGTAGAAGAAGGGTTTTGGGGGTTTATTTAGGTCGGCCGGATGGATCGCGACGACGACGATGACGACGTCGATCCAGCGCCAGCAGCTCCGGCAAGATTCCAGCAGCAGCAACGAGATTGGAGTGCCTGGAGTATCGATGCGATCGAGCTCCTCTTGCAGGCATTCCTCAGGTATCTGGGAGCGTTTGTGGATTTTCTCGATAGGATCATCAGCTATTTCGAGGCGCCTCGCGAGGGAGAAAGAAGAGCGGGCCGGGAGCAGCAGCAGCAGCAGCAACAACAACAACAACAGGGAAGCAGCGTATGGATGCGCGTTCTCCAGTGGCTGGGCAGTGGCGTCAGGAATCTTCCCCAGGACCGAAGCTCGCTGTGGATGCCCAGCGTCGCGATGCTACTCGTGTGCTTCGTATTTCTAGGTGCGGAAAAGAAAAAGTAGGCTAGATCTCCTTTGCTTTGCTTTTAATCACCACTGGTTTGACAATGCAGGCTTTAGAACGGGCTTTCGACTCTTTAGAATCGTGGAAGTTGTCCAAGAACAAGTAGAACCCGAGAAAACACCGTCCAAGCGGCTGCTGCTACCAGATGGGAGGTACATAGCTTACAGAGAGCTAGGGGTCAGTGTAGAAAAATCCAAGCACTCTGGATTAGTGGTACGGGGATTCACAGCTTTTAGAGAGACAGGTACCATGTCCTTTTGTGCTCCTTTTCTGTCCAACTTGTGCTAACATATGATTTTTTTTGTAGGCATTCCCGGACTGAACGATTCTTTGCTGGAACAGTTTCAAGTTCGTCTGATCATATACGACTTGCCGGGATTCGGGCTGAGTGATCCTAATCCCAATAGAACATTTAACTCTTCCGCACAGGACATGGAACTCATTGCCAACGCACTGAGACTCGGCGAGAGGTTTTGGTTGCTGGTACATCCTGGTGGCGGTCCCTATGCGTGGGCAGCAATCAGATATATTCCAGAGCGACTATCAGGTGTGATCTCTGCTTTCTGCATTATCTAGAAAGGTAAAAGCCTGAAAGAGTTGATGCGAATTTTTGAACCTGGCTTGTTTTGCATGCACAGGTGTTGTGATGCTGGCTCCAGTTGGAAACCCGTCTAAGGCCGGGGACGTGAGTGAGATCGAGGAAGATGGAACTGATTCTGAGGAACTGTCGTCCGGATGGAGGTTCCTAGCACGAGTTCTTGGCATCGGCCGATTTTTTCCCATTCGAAAGGAGTTGAAGAAGAAGATAACAAAGATACACAAAGGATTATATACGACTGTAGCTGACAAGGTAAGGGAAGGAGTTTCTGTTTTCAGTTTTCAGTTTTAAGCCATGATGCGTGTCTTTCAGGAACAAGTTCTGTTCGAGCAGAGGGAATTTATAAATTTTTGGGAGCAAAACCTTCGCTACACAGCGCCAGACGCAGTCCCGAGAGCAGCAGCAGCGCCTAAACCGCCAGCGGCTGAGAGACGGAGCCACCCTGATTTTAGCAAGTTTTTCAAGATCAGGCTCAAGTTTCCTTCAGTGCCAGTGCGTCCAGCGTTCCGACTTGTGAAGAGCTTCATAATGTGGTGGTGGCCGAGACAAACTAAGAAGGAGCCAACGGATGATGCTGCTGTTGCTCCTGATGCTGCCGCCAGCTTTGGAACGCCGTTGCCTCCAAATCTACTGAGTGAGACTTGGGAAGCCTTCAAACTCAAGCTCGGCTTAGTCGTGGTGCTGCTGGTGATCTCGCTCTTGGTCCTCAGATAACGCACGCACACCTCTCTAGAGCCGAGGTATGGTTTAACACCTCTCATTTGTTCGCTTCGCTGTATAAAATATAGATGTCTGACACTCGAGTCTTTGTCCCGTGATCTTTTACGTTTTATCTTTTCTGCTTGCAGCAGAGACAGACAGACACTGATGCCTCACTCCGAGGCAAGAGTCGTATCAGAGGACCAAATTACACCTACGGATTGTTTTACGCTGTCACCAGGAAGGTACTTGAACCGCAAGTTAATTTCTCACACTTCTTTTCCCTTCTGTAGGAGATAACGCAAGAATCTACCGCAAACATAATCTTGACTCGAGGATTGCCGTCAGAAGGGATGGTGTTTATAGAGGTCACGACAAGTTTTATGATCTTTTGTGGCAGGCACGGTGGAGTCGTGGGCTGCTAACTATTTACCCGTACAAAAGCGTCTAACTTATAGACTTCTAAGGTGCCTTACCGAATATCCACCGGCTCGCTGGCATATATCTTCAGAGAACTGGTACGTTGTGCCTTGTATTTTCTGAGCTTCTCTTTTGTGCGAGTAGTAGCCATGTCGAAAGACAGTGTGAAGCTCTTGAACTTCTGGCCGAGTATGTTTGGCTTGAGAGTCCACTATGCGCTGGATCTGAAAGGGGTGTCCTACGATTACCAGGAGGAGAATTTGTTCAACAAGAGCAAGGAGCTTCTCGAGGCAAATCCAATCTATACGAAGATTCCGGTTCTCATCCACAACGGCAAGCCTATCTGCGAGTCTCTTGTCATCGTCGACTACATTGACAGTGTGTGGCCCGGTTCTCACAAGCTCCTCCCGGAAGATCCATACGAAAAGGCTGTGGCTCGCTTCTGGGCAGACTTTGGTGACAGAAAGGTAAACTTGTCGCTTCTTCCGGGTTGATCAAAACCAGATTTTTCCTTACTAACAGCTCTATGACGCCGGGAGCCGACTCATACGAGCTATGGGGGAGGAGCACAAGAAAGCCGGCGAGGACTTCAAGTGGGCTCTGATGAAAATCGATGAAGCTCTCGGCACCATCGCTCCAGGCAAGCCTTTCTTTGGCGGCGATGCTATGAACTTTGCAGATGTTGCTCTGGCTCCATTCATCTGCTGGTTCAAAGGCTACCAGAAAGTGGGAGGATTCGTGCTTCCAGGCCCGGAAGAATGGCCCAATCTCTACAAGTGGGTGGACGCTGTAAATTCCGTGGACGCGATCAAGATATCCACTCCAAGCGATGACAAGGTTACTGAATCCGTTGAGCGTTACAGGAAGCATTTTACCGGGGCTGCCTAAAACACGGACGGTTTTCAAGATATGTACTGTTTTCGATTCATCATCTCGATGCGTAAACAATAAAAAGTACTTCAAATAAACAACGTCTCTGACATTTTCTAGAAATCCAGACGGTCCTTCGGGGTTCTTGCTTCAGAAATTTCGTCGAACGGCGATTTTTTACTAGCGTCTCTGTCTCTCTATCTCTCTCTCTGTCTCTCTGTCTCTCTCTCTGTCTCTGTGTTACGATTAGCCTTTTTATTAAAATTTTATCCTTTAAATTTTCCTTATATGTTTATGGAAGCTTCTGTTTAGAAATATGGTTTACTAACTAAGAACATATAACAACTATAAACTAAAAGTATAGAAATAGTAATGGGAAGCTAACACTTTTTTACTATATGATTAAACAAACCTTCTCCAGAAATCTTTTATTCATTGCTGAATGTTCTTTTAAAGATTAATTCTTGCCTAAATTATAACATTTCATTATTTTGTATTTCTTTGTCAATATAAACTTTTTATTACCTCAAATATGCGTACATCTATATATGGCAAAGCCTTTTGTGTATAACAAATACTTACCCCATTGCTATTGTTTTCATATTTATTAGTTTAAACTTTTACTACTTAACAATCCTAGTTTTATATATTTAACAAACTAGCTTAAGTCAAGTTCATTTTTATAAAGATATATATTAAAGATATATGTTATAATTTGTTTATTTTCTTATATAAAGATTATTTTATTTTATAAAAGTTAAGAAAACATTAAGAATTGCCACTTTTGACGAGCTCTACCTCTGAAATGAATATTTTTATGGTGTATTTTATTTTAATTAATATTTACCTTTTATTATTAATTTTTTAAATTAAGTGTTTTAAGAATTATTATTTTTAAAAAATACTTATTAAGCTTTAATCTTTGTAATAACTATACTTTTACCATCTAATTCTTTTTACTCTATATTTCATACTCCAAGATTTATATTCCATGTTTCTACCATTTAATCTCATTTCAAGTTTTTCTATGTTTTCCCAAATATATTTGGAAAAAATTGTAAAAATGAAAAAAAACAAAAACATCATTCAATTATATACATAAAAGAGGCTAAAAATTCAATTCTTAAGTTTCTAAATTATCTTGGAGTTTATATTTACACTAAAATACTTAATTTACACATAATTTAACTTGTGTAAACCATAAAGAAATTAAATACCTTTAAATTTAAGGGTAACTCATATTTGGTAGCTCGCTTCAATTAAATATGATCAAGTCATGATGGCAGTTGGGTTTGAAGTAACTTGAAGCAGTGTTTAACTTTGATTACTGCCTTTAATAAATATTTAGATCCAAAAATCTATAAAAGTTTTCTTTTATCTAATAGTATCACCTTGCCATTACGTTTTGAAAATAGAGAGAGCAAAAGAAATATGTTAAAGCAAGAATATTACTATAAAGACATATCTCATTATTGTAAGTGTTATATTATAATTCATTGCTTTTGAGAGGATTTTATCCACTATAACATGATTTACAATAATAATTATATATGTTTTCTTTTGATTCAATTATTACCAAATTGTTTTACCTATATGAAGACAATGGAAGAAAAGTCAATAGTTTTCAACTCAAATTTTTATTATTACTTCTGCTCAAAGTTCTTGAAACAATATATAAATTGATTGTAGGGCTTTGAAGTGTTAAACTCTTGAATATCCGTTCATAGAGAAATAAAAATCCTTGAGAGGATTATATAAAAATAAAGAGTAAAAGTATGCTAATTATGAAAAAAAATCTTGAAAAGAACAATAGAAGCACATTTTTTACAAAACTAGGAAGTGACAGAAAAAAAATACATCAAACTTTGAAAAGTTTTATTTACTTAATGGATTATACTATTATCATTATAGCATCACCTGACACAATATTTATCTCACACTTTAAATATTTCAAAGTATGTCAAATAAAGCATCTTGCTCCAGAAACTTCGTTGAACAGAAGATTAGCCTTTTTATTAAAATCTTATCTTTAAAATTCTCTTTTCATGTTTATGGAAGCTTCTGTTTAGAAATATATTTTACAAATTTACAGAAAACAACTATAAACTAAAAGTATAGAAATAGTAATGAGAAGCTAATGCTTATATGATTAAACAAACACTCTTGAGAAATCTTTTATTCATTGCTGAATGTTCTTTTAAAGATTAATTCTTGCCTAAATTATAACATTTCATTATTTTGTATTTCTTTGTCAATATAAACTTTTTATTACCACAAAGTGCATACATCTATATATAGCAAAGCCTATTGTAATGTTTTTTCTTTATCCAATCATCTTTTAAATACTTACCCCATTCTTTTCATATTTATTAGATTAAAATTTTACTACCTAATAATCCTATTTTTATATATTTAAAAAACTAGATCATGTCAAATTCTTTTTCCATACAGATATATATTAAAGATAAAGGTTATAATTATTTTATTTTCTTGTATAAAGATTACTTTAATTTTATAGAGATTAAGAAAACATTAAGAATTGCCACTTTTGATGAGCTCTACCTCTGAAATGAATATTTTTATGGTGTATTTTTTTAAATTAATATTTAACTTTAATTATTACTTTTTTAAATTAATTGTGTTGAGAATTATTATTTTTTAAAAATATTTCTCAAGCTTTAAGCTTTTTAATAACTACACTTTCACCATCTAATGCTTTATATTCTATATTTCATGCTCCAATATTTATATTCTATGTTTTTACCATTTAATCTCATTTCAAATTTTTCTATTTTTTGCCAAAGTATATTTGGAGTGTGAGGGCCAAGTGTACGGCTACGATGCCATATACTAATATTAGCGTAATGGGATTTTGGTAGCCGTCAAATTAGTTTCAATCCAGCCCACTCGCTCTTGTATATAAGCTAGGGTTTTTGGGCTAATTAATATGCACATTTCTGTATTCCCTTTCCTTATTCCATGCACTCACATTGGTGGAGATGAGGGGCACCTTTGATTGTCCCTGGGGAGTGCTTGGATTTGGGATTTTGGTTTGGATCTAACTTTTGCATCGTCTAGATCTAGCTTTTTCCATTTCTTTTCTTTTATTCTTTCTTTTAGATCTAGCCTTTTGCATTGTCTAGATCTACCATTTCCTTCCAGATTTTTGTCATTTATCTTCTTTTGCTCTTTCTTCGTTCATCTTCATGGCAGATTAGCAATCTCCTTCTTTGACTCTGGAGCAGCAGTTGGTACAATTGCTTGATGCTATGCGCTTGCAATTGAACAACCAAACTCAATTGATGGCAGTGTTCACGGCACATGGTACAACTCCTCCTACTCTTGGTGCCAATCCTCGCGTTCGGTCGGAGTTCTTTCGCGGGAATCCTGGGAATGATGTGTACCATTAGTTCGATCACTTCACGGTGATTGCCACATATCATTCTTGGGATGATGCATGACGTTTGATGTGTTTTCAAGGGATGGCGTTTCAGTGGTACAATGGTTTGAGCGCAGCCACTCGTGGGGATTGGAGTGTTCTCCCAGACGTCTTCAAACATGCTTTCGAACATGCCGATGACTGTAATAATGCCTTCCAACAATTGCATCGTCTTCGCCAAGGGCCATTTGAGTCGGTGATGCAATTGTTTGTTTTCGAAGTCTTTTGCTTTGCACGGTGCCAAATATGTCGGAGCGGATCAAGCTAGGAATGTTGTGGCCAGCACTTCGTCAAGATTTTGTCGGACTTGTGCATGCACTTGCTCCCGCCACCCTTGACAATGCTCTTCGTTTGGCACAACGTTATGAGACGTCGCCTCTTCCACTTCTCGCTGCATGTCCTTCAGCTCCACTTTTTGTGGGTGATGGTCCTGTTCCAAAGGAGGTTGATGCTGCTGTTGCTTGAGTCCAAGGCTAAGAGTGAGGACGTGGTCATGGCCGTGATGTTCCCTGCTGGGCATGTGATGAAGTTGGTCATACTTATCGGCGTTGTTGGCGTTTTCTGGATTGGCGACCTCCATTTTTTGGGTGGAGACCTTGGTGTCAGCAACGTCCCGTTGGTGCTGCTGTAGTGGAAGGTTTGGACACCGAGATGCATCCGGGAAACAAGGAGTTGCGCGAGTAATAGAGGGACCTTGCGCGAATAAGTTAGTGACTCCTCCATCTTTCTTTCGAGAGTATCATCAAGGGGTTCACTTGGCACCAGTTCATCCATTATTTACTTTCTAAGCTCGTCTTTATAACAAGAGGGCTCCTATTATTCTTTTTGTGTTGGTTGATATAGGTTCGAGTTTATCTTCTATTGCTCGACCTATTGCCACACGTTGTCGTCTACACTTGCGTCATGTGGCGGAACCAGTTTTCATTCTTTATGGCAACAACTGTACACATGCATGTGCATGGGATGAGGCAGACCTGGTTGTGCGTGTGGGCAATCTTGAGCTTGAGTTGTAGTCGTTGCGGGTGGTGTCGAGTCAAGGTTTTGACCTCATTCTTGGTATGGATTGGTTGCAGTGCAATCATGCCAAGTGTGACTTTGAGGCTTCTCCCCCTTGTCTCATACTTCCTTATGTTTCATTCATTTCTCTCACTTTCGTACCTCTTCGTCCCTCTATTTTTACGTCTGCTTCCATTACTTTTGTTCCCCCATTATTTCCTCCTGTGTTTCCATCTTATTCTGCTCTTCCCTTTTCCGATCCCTCCAACGATCTTTGTGTTGCAGAAGTTGACCGGCTCATGAAAAAGTATTCTGATCTCTTTGACTTTGACCTATCGTTTAGAGCCAAGATCGCCACACGTCATCCGATTCCAACTGAGGATGCTCGTCCAATCAAGGTTCCTGTTCGTCGTTGGTCACCAAAGGAGATCAAGATTTTACATGCAAATGTTAAGGAGATGTTGGAGAAGGGTGTTATTCAGAAGTCGCGGAGTCCTTGGGCATGTGAACCTCATCTTGTGACAAAGCCTAATGGGAGTATTAATTTCTGCATTGACTATCGTCTGTTAAACAACGTAACAATTTTGGATGTGGACCCTCTTCCTCACACTGTTAATCTCCTAGATCGTTTGGGGCGAAGTTGTTGGTTCACCAAGCTAGATC